GCTACCGTTTACGGGCGAGGGAGTTTTATACTCTCTCCCGCTAGTGTGACCATGAGCGTCTGCTCTTGGCCCTTGTCAAGCAAACAGACGCTACAGTTACTCCCTGTCCTCCCGAAGTCCAGCAGGTTGTGGACCAATATGCCGATCTGATGCAGGAGCCAGTTGGGTTACCCTACCGGCTAACCAAGCATCATCGAGTTGTTGCCTGGAGCGGTCCCTCCAAAGGGCCGCATCTACAGGATGTCTCCTGCTGAGTTTGAGGAGCTCAGAAACCAGCTTGAGACCCTGACCAGCAAAGGCTGGCACATCTGAGTTTGGTGCCCTTGTCCTCTTTGTTCCCAAAGGGAATGGAGAATTCAGGATGTGCATAGACTACAAGGGTCTCAACAAAATCACGAGGAAGAGTACAGAGCCTATCCCTCGTATTGATGATCTTCTAGATATGGTGCAGCGTTGCACACTGTTCAACAAAGTTGACCTCAAATCTGACTATCACCAGATTGAGATGGCAGAGGAGGATGTCCACAAAATAGCCTTCAAAACCAGGTATGGCACTTAGGAATACCTGGTAATGCCATTTGGACTTTGCAATGCCCCAGGCACTTTCCAGACTGAGATGCACCGTATCTTCAGGCCTTACCTGGACAAGTTCATGGTTGTCTACTTAGATGATATTTTGGTATTCAGTCGAACTGCCAGGGAACATGCGGAGTACCTAGCTCTGGTTCTTCAGGCATTACGTGACAACCAATACAAGATTAACCGGGAGAAATCGTCTTTTGGAGTTCCCTCTGTCATCTACCTGGGTCATGTAATCTCTGGAGATCGTATGACCCCTGAAGCCAACAAGGTTGCCGCTATTCAGGATTGGCCCCAACCACAGACAGTGAGGGATAAATGGTCCTTCATGGGTTTGGCCTCATACTACAGAAAGTTTGTCAGGATCTTTTCTGCAGCGGCTGCACCCCTGACCAACCTAACAAAGAAAGACACTCCTTTTCTTTGGTCCCTTCCCTTTCAGTTGGCCTTCACACGAATCAAGAAGGCCTTGACTTATGCACCAGTGCTGAAGTTACCTGACCCCACTTTGCCATTCATCCTGACCACTGACGCTAGTCAGTATGGCATTGGGGCTGTTCTTCAGCAGGATGATGGGAATGGTCTGCGGCCCATTGAGTTTACGAGTAAGAAGATCAAAATTCAAAAGCTGCAGAACTCTACCTACGAGAAAGATCTATATGCTCTGGTATGCGCGCTAAAGCACTGGAAGCACTTTTTCCTGGGCAGACACTTCAAGATCTTCTCAGATCATTCCACTTTACAGTGGATGAAGTCCAGGGAGAGTTAAATGATAAATTAGCACACTACATTCAGTTCATTGATCTGTTGGACTTTGAACTGAAACATAAGAAGGGTTGCTACAATAAAGTAGCAGACGCCCTCTCTCGTAGACCTGGCGCTTTTGTGTTGATCTCCTCTACTCACTCCTTTGGAGAGGAGACCCGTCAGACCATTGCACGTTTACTGCCTTAGGACCCGACTTATGGACCCATAGTCAGGAATCTGCAAGCAGATCCCAACTCTGAACCAGGCTATGCCCTGAGTTCAGACTTGCTGTACACTTAGAACAGGAGTGAGGAGTGTTTGTGCATTCTCCAGGACCAGCGACTGAGAACTCTGCTGATGTCAGAGTGCCATAATGCACGCGGTCATTTTGGGTTCCTAAAGTCATATGCAGCCCTGTCACAGTGCTTCTTCTGGAAGGAGATGCGGAGTGATCCACTGCACTATATTGAAACCTGTGAGCTCTGCCAGAGAAATAAGGTCCAACGTAGACCTCCTCTGGGACTGCTCAAACCCTTGCCCATACCTGATGGTCCTGCTGAATCTATATCTATAGATTTTACAGACCTAGGCAAGACCACCCCTCGTGGCATGCGTAAGGTAATGGTCTGTGTTGACAGGTTCTCGAAGTATGTAGAGTTCATCCCCTTGCAAGAAGTAGCTAGGGTCCCCTCTGTGAGAGCAACGTTTTCAGAGAGGTGGGTCACTCACCCTGGGCCGCCCACTTCTATAGTCCGTGATGGAGATCCACGATTCTGCAGCAATGAGTGGCAGTCTTACTGCAAGGACTACCTACACTCACGATTAGACATGACTTCTGGCCGTCATCCTGAAGCCAATGGTCAGGCTGAAGTGATGAACCAAATCTTGTTTCAGTTGTTGCATCCTGTCATCTCTCCAGATCAACAGGACTGGGATCTCCACCTGGCTCGTGCACAACTTGTTTACAATACCTCTATCCACTCTTCAACTGGGTTCAGTCCATATCGTTTGCATTGGGGACGTGAGCCACGATAGCCTCTTGATGACATCATCAATAAGGCTAAGTCTGATCTGACTCCTGGCACTGCGGAGTTTACCAGACGCTACAGAGTCGATGGGGAAAGGGCACGGACGAACTTGTTCAAGGCTCAAAAGGCCATGATTGAACAAACTAATCGCTACTGATGTCCTTCCCCCATTCGTACTGGCGATTACGTCTGGGTAGCCAGTTCAGAGTTGTCGAGGGAGGAGGATATCTCTCCCAAGCTGTTGCCACGATACCTGGGTCCGTGGCAGGTGTTAGATATAGTGGGCTCTGATCCTTTTGGCATGTCGTACGTTATCAACGTCCCACTGCATCTACAGACCTATCCGGTCTTCCATGCATCTAAGCTGCTTCCTTTCATCCCAGCTGATGCATTCCCAGACCGGCCCCCTCAGTTTGGTCCACCGATCCCTGGCAAGGGATATGATGTGGAGTCCATTGAGGACGAGTGGGGCACTGGCCCCGACCAGCAGTATCTTGTGCCTCATACTGAGGATAGGTGGTTCACCAGGAATGAACTTCTCAAGACAGCAAAGTCCGTAGTTCTACGTTACGAGGCGGCTCAGAGGGGTTCACTTCCTTCTCGGTCTCCTCGTTTACACCCCTAGCTCGGAGGTCCTCGCTCCCCGGGGGGGGTAAGCCTGCAATGACTTGCTGATTTAGACTGCCGAGATCTGACTGCGAGGCTGTACAGTAACAACGGTAGGGTTAAATTTGTAATTTTGTTGGTGTTAGGGACTAACCGAGAGTTCAGTGCTGACGGAAATTCGTGAGGGACATATCTGCAATTTTGAAAAAATTACAGGCCCCTTAGACCGCACTACGAATAGCAGGCCCGGGCTATCACTAGGACGGGAGGCCCTAGGGCCTACGCCCGTAGCATGAGAGCCTATAGCCGGGTAGGTAGAGGCCCTAGAGGCCCAAACTGAAAGGGTACCGGTCGGTCCAGTCCGTGTCTAGGTCTAGGTTAGTCTATTAATAGATCTAGGGTGAGGACTTTTGGCAGTTTTCAGTTTTCGAGTCACAACGTTCTGAGCCAAGCGAGTACCATGGAGACGATTGCCTACAGGCGGCATCCTGAGACCTTCGTCGTGGACGGCCGACATAGCCAGCCTTCCGGAGCTCACCATAGCTGGGGCGTCCTCTGAGCATCCACCCCTGGGGTTGCTTGCGAGCGGCTGGGCTATTCGGAGGGGCTCTACATGGTGTTCGTGGGTGGACCACTGTTGCTGCATCTTCCTCTAGGATTGAGCGTTGCATCTACAGTGGCGCTGCAGCCGTAGCTGCAGCTTTCTTCATCATAGTTGCTCATCGGCACTGAGGATTACATCGCAGTTCCTGTTCTTCATCTGTGTGGTTGGCGCAGACCTCTGGGAGGCTGATGGGGTGTGGCGCTACTAGCTGGGTGTAGTATAGAAAGTGGAGTGTGTGGTTCTGTGAGTGGCGAGACACTGGGACAAACTCTGTAACGATATTGGTTCAGATCGGCTCAATCTCAGATTGTTCCTTTGTTATCCTCGCAGGTGTCTACTTGTGATTGGTTGTTGGGAGTACTGTCAGAGAGTGGGAAACACTTCGTGTTATCTCCACACCGTGCATAGTGCTTTTCCGCTGCTTACTCTGTTTGTGTGCAGTGTGTACTCTGTCTCCTCTCCCCTTCTTCTTATGCATGTATGGGCGTGCGTGAGATTGTCTGCGTGTGAGTGTTGTTGAAAATCGACAGACAACCAAGTTCATAACAGAGAGAGAAGAAAAGAGAGAGAGAGAGAGAGAGAGAGAGAGAGAGAGAGAGAGAGAGAGAGAGAGAGAGAGAGAGAGAGAGAGAGAGAGGTGTAAATGGAGAGACGGTGAGGGGGAGAAAATCCTCCTTGTGTTCAGAGAGAGCCCAAGTACATGCAGCTCACAGGGAAACTTAGTGGCAGTAAAGAAATGGCTTCTGCAGGTAGCAGACACGGAGAACGTGACATATGATATGAGCAGGACGAAGGACAGTGAAATTTCCCCTGAGACGGTGATGGCTGCGATCAGGGCAGAGGGGTCGCTTCTCAAGGACATACCGTCATGCACGCGCAATTCGTACGCACTCTAAGAATCGTGGACCGATGGGCCTGGTTATCGTATTTGTATGCTGAGCAGGGGCAATGTTTCACTTATACCAGGACGTAACCAACCCATCAGTCAAAGAGGCTTTATTCTAACGACAATTACTCTATAAGTATGTTCCCTGACTGGTGCACGGCACCAGCTACCAGCGTTCATCCCAGGTTCTTGGCCCAAACATTTTTTCCAGTACCAGGGTTCAGGGATGTTCGTAAATCTCCCATATTCCTACTAATTGCATTTTCATCTTAGGGCCAAAGCTACGCCAACCTGTATTTCAAGGGTCTACCCATAGTCAAGCCATTGGTCTCCATTCATGAATGATATAATCACTCCCATATCTGTGTGTGTGTGTGTGTGTGTGTGTGTGTGTGTGTGTGTGTGTGTGTGTGTGTGTGTGTGTGTGTG